TTCGTCAGTTTCTTCTGGAAAGCTTTCTTTTTCATGTGCGTTGTGTGAGTGTACATGTTCATATGTGCATGTGCATCAGGAGTCTTCCTCACTTGCTCCCTACTTTATTTATGGATGTAGGTTTCTTACTGTCTTAGTTAGGGTTCCTCTTGCTGTGAAGAGACACCAGTAAACATCCTTTAAACTCTTATAAAGGAAAACATTTAATGGAGGTAGCAACTTATAGTTCAGAGGTTCAGTCCATTATCCTTATGGTTGGAAGCATGGTGGCATGCAAGCAAACAGGGTGCTGGAGAAATAGTTGAGAGTCCTTGCAGGCAACAGGAAGTTGACTGAGACACTGAGTGGTGTCCTAAGCATAGAAAACCTCAAGCCCACCCACATAGTGACACACTTCCTCCAACAAGACCACACCCACTACTACAAAGCCACACCTCCAAATAGTGTCATTCTCTATGTGATTATGGGGGCCAGTTACATTCAAACTGCCACACTTGCTGAACCCAGAGTTTGCCAATTTGCCTAGTCTAGCTAGTGTGTGTCAGGGATTTCTTTTTTTTTTTAAAATATTTATTCATTTATTATGAATACAATATTCTGTCAGTGTGTATGTCTGCAGGCCAGAAGAGGGCACCAGATCCCATTATAGATGGTTGTGAGCCACCATGTGGTTGCTGGGAATTGAACTCAGGACCTTTGGAAGAGCAGGCAATGCTCTTAACCTCTGAGCCATCTCTCCAGCCCCCTGTCAGGGATTTCTTGTTTCTGCATCCCAAGTGCTGGGATTACAGGTAGGCAGCAATGCCCACATCACTAGTCTTTTGTTAGTGTTCTGGGGATCTGAACTCAGGCCCATGGTTTTCAGGGCAAATATTTTCTTTATTGATCTGGCTCTCTAGCCCTAAAGTTTACATCCTATAGATCTCTTACTTTCTTAGTTAGGTTTATTCCAGGTATTTTAAAAATATCTCTTCAAAGATTCAAAGCCAGGTGGCTGCTAGCCAGTAGGCTAGGAATGCAGATCCAGGGTAAACCCAGTAGCTATAAAGCTACAGCTCAGGGCTGGGAAGATTGCTCACCAAGTGAAGGGCTTGCTGTGCAAGCCTGAAGTCCTGAGCTTGGTTCCCTACACCAGTGCAAAAGCAGGGCCGAGTGGCAGGTGTCTGCAGCCCCAACCCTGAGGCCAGGTCAGGGTGGCCGCAGATTTCACGAGCTCACTGACGAGCAAGTCTAGCTGAAATCGTGAGCTCCAGGTTCAGTGAGAGATCTGACTCAGACAGTAAGATGGAGAGCGGATGGAGAGGAAAACTCCAGCCATGGATTTCTGACCTCTGTATGAACACAAATGAGGTAGGCATGCATGCAGACACACAGGCACACACATGCATTCACTGCACCCCAAACAAACAACATCCAGTCATAGTGTGCAAAGACCTTGCACTCTGACTTCATCTGAGGGTCAGGGAAAGGAACTCCACTTTTTTAGCGGCGATGAAAAAGGTCCTGTTCGGTTATGTCTGGTGGCACAGGCCAGTCTAGGCAACAGTGAGAACTTGTTTGAAAGTAAAGGCAGGTATAGTTCAATGATAGAGTGCCTCCTATGAAGCTCTAAGTTCAGCCTCAGTACCACAATAAAGAGGGAAGAAAAAAGGGAGGAAGAGAGAGAGAGAGAGAGAGAGAGAGAGAGAGAAAGAGAGAGAAATAGAGCGAGTGTGCCAGCCCCTAGTATTATTGCTGTCAGAGAGGGCCAATACTCTGGGACCAAGTGATGGAGAAGGAAGCTTGTCTCAAGGCTTGCACGGTGGAGAGCAAGCAGCTCACACCCGTGTCTCTCTTGAATCACCAAGACTATAGCACTTCTTAACTGTTATCATTATTATTTATTAAAAAGTTTTCTTTCATTATTTTAAATCATGTGGGTGGGTGTGAGTCTGTATGTGGGTTTTTGCACAAGAGTGCAGGTGACCCCGGGGGCCAGAGGTGTTGGATCCCCTGGAGCTGGAGTTATGGGCACTTGTGAGCCCTCTGATGCAGGTTCTGGGAATCAGACTTGGGTTCTCTGCGAGAACAAGGCATGTTCTTAATCACTGAGCTATCTCTCCAGCAGACCACAGCATCTTTTGTTATCTCAGTCTCAGGCAGTCAAGCACCAGGGTAGTTCATTGGTCTTGAAAAATAACCATTTCTGGTATATCAAAGGCTTACAGCTGTCTGGAGGTGACTGAGTCATCTTGAACCTGTGAATTGTAGGGATTGTTCTAGACTTGGGGTCTGAAGGTGTGCGGTCTGGTTTGCATCACAGCAGCTAACCCAGCAGCTAACCTTTTCATCGTGACCTTTTTTTTATAGCCTGGGAAGGAGCAGCACTCGGGGAAGGGCCAGCGCACTTCAACCAATTCTACGGCTGGTTGTTAAGATGCCTATGGAAACAAGGCTCTGCCTGCAAACTGAAAAGATGAATGCTGGTAGAAAATACCAGGATGTGGCTCATGAAGCTTAAGGGACAGTGGGGGAGGGGAGTCCTGTGTGCGTGTACGTGTGTGTGTCTCTGTGTGTGTGTGTGTGTGTTGTGGAGGAGCGGGTTCTTTCTGTGCGCCGAGAAGGAATTGGTATTCTGTAATACAGAAAGGAGCGGTGTGGTGTGATATAAAGCCAGCGATAGATGGTGTGGTCCTCAGTGGCCATGGAAGGATGTTTGGGGATGGAAGAAGTGGTTGGTGAGGCCCTGAAGTATCTGAAGATAGGACAGGTGTGTAGGAAGCGCGTGGGCTCCCAACAAGCTGGAGGCTATCCTGAAGCGGCAAGTGAGAATGGTCCATTCCGGGGACAGCTGCTCACTCTGACTGATTTCCCTCAGCTAAAGGAATCCAGGCTGTTAATACCTTTGAAGAAAGGAACTACTAGGGTCCCACCATGAGTCCAACTTCTTCACTGACAGCATGCTGGAAGACTGAACTTCCCTTCTAGACCTGGGGGGTGGGGGTGAGGGGGATGGGGGGGTGGGAAGTTGGGGGGATGGGTGGAAAACTGCGTGGAGGCCTCCTGCGTGGACATCCAAACACCATTAGCACAAGCTCTGGGTTTCTGGATGTTGTGTGTGGGGGCGGGGGTTGTGCAAAAATGGGGACAGACCACCAAAGTCTAATAAACCAGAAGCAAACTTTATTCCAGAAACCAGAATCCAGAAAAAAATAAAATAAAAAAAAAATCTCCTTGGGGCACAAAAAGCTTATCAGCTACCTGAGACCACAGCCAGAGATGGATTTTGTTAGGCTGTGGCAAAGGCTGGTTTCTGAACTTACCTTTTTATAATAGGGGCACTAAGCATGAAAGACCCCCGAGGGATGTCTTCCTAGCGAGAGAGGCCCCGAACCCACAAACCCGACGAAGCCACACTTTCGGATGCAAACAGCAAGAGGTTTATTCGAATACACAGGTACCTGGGGCGACAAGGTCTCTCGGAAGACTTGCGCGCCCGCAGGTTGGGGGTGAGGGGTTCTTATAGGAGAGCAAAAGCGCGGGTACAGAAGCAAAAAACGTGGTTACAGGGTTTCATTTCATTGGTCAATTTAAATAAGGCTAAGCTGAGTGGCACATTCTTGACCTTTCATCTAAATACCAAGGAGGGGGTTGTCCAGACCCACCTGGATACCAAGGAGGGGGTTGTGCTACCTGTTTTTCTTATCTCTTCCTGCCTTCCTAGCTGGAGACCTGATGGCAGACTGTAAATATCCTGACTCACATCCTGTCACAGGACAAAAGGCTCCCTTCCCCTCCCTTACAGCAAGGGGCCTGAATTGTTTATTTCTAAGGCCCTGCATTCCAGCATCAAGGGTGGTATACATATATATTTTTTTCCTTTACATTCCCCCATTTTTTCTAGTGCTTAGTTCTAATCATAGAACTAGATTTCAGTATCTTCTTGACCTTATAAAGCACTGTATTGGAGGTGTAACATCAAAATCTGAACAGCACTTGTTCTTTTTCTAATAAAGGTAATATCAGTAGCAGAAGCAAAATTAGGAGTGGTCCCATAAGGGAGGATATCAAAGTAGTCATCCAGGGAGATCTATTCGCATAATCCTCCATCCTTTAAGAATAACAAATCTAATCCCCTTCTATTCTGTAAGACCACTTCTGAGAGGGAAGTCAATGACTCTTCGAGTTTGGAAACAGATTGTTCTAAAGCCCTCCAATCTTAATACATTGAAGTACTGAGGGGCCTGTATTAGGGCAGCAGTACCTGTCCCAACACCGGCAGCTTCTCTAAGGCCCAGGATTACTGCTAGTGTCAGAGAAATAGGTTCTCGTTGGAAGCGAGTTGGGTGCCTGTCAAACTCATACCAGTTGTGCAAGCACATAGTACTATAAACCCATCATCTATTTAACTCAGGAACCAAGTACCAGGTGTCAGGAGTCTTAGGGCTCCTAAGAGTCTCATTACATAACCTCAGTAAGAGTCCGTCAATGATTAGCCTTCCAAACATAAGCCTCTTGACTGATAGCGTTATCAAAAGCCCCGGACACTGTAATTTGGGTAGTTCAGGAGTTCGCTTCATGTGGGAGGCGTGGATCCAGGCAGAGATGCATACTTCTTTCAGTTGTTTTCAGATCTGGTGTCTTTCCATTTCGAGGGCCTTTAGACGGGGAAAATAAAGGTCTAGAAAGAATAACATCAGGATTATACATTTTATCCGACTCAGTGAGCAGTGGTGGTTCTCCACATAGGATCTCATAAGAGATGAGTTTAAATTGCCCTGGGGTATTCCAAACCTGGAACAGGGCAAAGGGAAGGAGGGCTGTCCAGTCATTTCCGCAGGTCTCTTTTAGAATTTTATTTATCTTTTCTACCTGTCCTGACTCTGGGGTCGGTAAGCACAATGTAATTTCCAATTGATCCCCAATTGGGCGGCCAGTCCCTGACTTACCTGGGCAACAAAGGCAGGTCCATTATCAGACCCAATTACCTTGGGTATCCCAAGCCTTGGGAAGATTTCTTCTTTGATCTTCTTAGCCACCGCATTGGCTGTCTCAGTCCTGGTGGGAAAAGCTTCTACCCAGCCTGAAAAGGGTATCTATAAAAAACTAATAAGTACTTGTTGCCATATCTGGCTGGCTTAATTTCTGTAAAATATACTTTCCAGTAGGCTCCAGGCCAATTGCCCTTGAGCCTCTTCCCAGGAGCATATATGGAGTGTCCTGCATTAATCATAGCACAGGCCTTGCAGTTTTTGACTACTTCTTCTGCCAAGACAGAGAGTCTGCCATCTGATTTCCCTCAGCCACAGCATCTCAAGCTTTTTGGTGTCTTGGACGAGTATATGTCTTTTCCTGCAGATGTTAACAGTCCTCTTTGTCTGTATATTGCTCCATGAATATGGGCAGTGGCAAAAGCATACCTGCTGTCAGTGTAGGTGCTGAGACTTCTCCCTCTGCCATTCGTATCCAAGCCGCAAGTCCGGCTTTTTGTGCCAACGTCCTTCAGGGAGGCTATGCCCAGGCCATTTGCTTCCCATCCACTACTGCTGTCCCCGCCTTCCGCTTACCTTCGATCACGAAACAGCTGCCATCCGTACACCAGCTCGGACTTTCAGGCCAAGGCTGATCCTTCAGATCATTTCTGGTGCCAGCTTCTCAGCGCATTGATGAGTAGACGAGATGTCATCAGTCTCAGGCAGTAGGGTAGCGGGATGGAGGACAGCAGGGGGAGCGAAGGTCACTGGTTCAGTCAACAAAGGCTTTAATCATCTCCAGCCTGGTTTGAGTAAACCGGATCTGGGCCTTCAGCTTCATTAGCAAGTCTCTTTCTAATAAAGATAGGACGCTCGGGGATAACCAGGAAGGAATGAGTCACTTGTCCTCTCCCCAAATCTACAGTTCGTGAGGTGGTCCATAGATATTGTTTCTGTCCAGTTGCTCCAATTACTGTAGTCTTTTATTTTCTCCCCTCTAATCATCTTCTGCTAGGGCCAGTACCTTAGAGTCCCTTCCTTTCTTCTTTGGGCATTTTCTTGCCCAATGTTCTTTTTCTTTGCAATAAGCATATCGTCCTTTGTCCAAGGGGTGCCTGTCCACGTTCATCTTTGATCTTCTGTTGCCCAGGTTCCCTATCTGTCTAGGTTTTATCTTTTTTTTTCTCCTATCATTGTGGCCAAAATTCTATCAAATTTTCCTTTTGTCTATGATCCCTCCAGTCCTCTTTCTTCTGCCTCCATCTCTCTTTCTCTCTCTCTCTCTCTCTCTCTCTTTTTCTCTCATGTTTCTCTTTCTCAGTCTCTCGCTTATGAAACACTTTCTCTGCCTCCTTAATCAAATTCTGCAACCCTTTTAACCATTGTAACTTTTGTTAATATCTGATGCTGACTGTCCTATAAAGGCCATAGGTACCATTGACCCTCAGAGGTTGGGTCAAGGGGAGTATAATGCCTGTAAGCCTCCTTTAAATGAGGTCTGAACAAAGGAATTTTTACAGTCTCAAGGTAAAACTCAGATACAGATTGACTTACTTTACAACCTCCATTAACAGAGTTTTTCAGTTAAACTCGTGTTTGTACTTAACCTATTGTCTTCCTTGGTGCTTCCAGGTGGTGGTTACTGAAGCCCTGTGCTGTTCCCTTTGATGCTGCCAGTTTCACATGGCAGGGACAATGCATAGCCCAGAGGTCATATATCTATTTCCTAAAAGTTGACTCAGCTCATATCCGTAGGCTAGCTCTCAGTTTGCAGAGAGATGCTTTGGCCTTAAAAATAGAGCTATGGTTGTAAAGCAGAGTAACCCACTGTTAATGGTTAATCCTCAAGCTGCTGAGAAAGCTGCTGACAGTCTGTTCCTATTCTCCTAGGCTTACAGTTTAACTTTATATTTTTTTATTTTTACATTTTTATTTCTGGAATCTATATTTTTATATTCTTATTCTTGGGCCCTTCACTGGGTGGCTCATCCCAACAAGCTGAAACCTGGTGTGCTGCCAGGTTCCATGGAAGACTCAACATCATTACCCTTGGAAATCTTCATTGGCAAAAAGGTAGGTCGGCCGGCTGGGGCAGGTGCGCCCCGAATTGAGGACGGGTTCTGCAGTTGGGGGCGGGGCTTGCATGATGAGACATTTTAAATCTGGCCACTTCAGTAATTCACTTATTTCCAATTTTGGTCCTCAGCGCTGTTAACTGAGACCTGCAGATTTCAAGCTTGTGGTGAAATCATTGACAGGTGAACAGAGGTCAAATTGTGCCAAGCCTCTGACACCAGGGCACCCTAAGGCATCAGGGACTGGGGGAGGGGCTGCTCTGTGCTTCCTGGAGGCCTCACCCTCACCTGCAGCCACAGGGCAGAACACTCTGATGAATTGCTGGTGGCATCTTGGCATAAGCACCTCGGACCACCAGGTGGCAGAGCGGTGGCTTGCTCAGGAGCTCAAACTCACACACGCTCTTGACAAAAAAGACCTGGAGGGCAGTTCTGAGGGTCTGGGACTGTTCTTCATTTCTTGAATTTGGATGCACAGACAGGTGAGCAGGCAGGGGAGCCTCAAAACACAGCCAGGACCACGGTCTCAGCCCAAGAACTACAATTTCTTTATTTCCTGCGGATTAGGAACTAAATGAGGAGTTTATTTGTAGGGTCATATGTGACCGTCACAAAAACTTACAAGTGTTAGCAAATGATATGGGTCTGGGGTCGTTCAGAGTCACCAGCCTGGCAATCGACAAACTGTAACAAAGAAGAGGCTTTTATTCAGATACTGGTACCAGGCCCGTGCCCCTCACCGTTTCCACTTTAATATCTGAGGCTTTTGCTGTGAACTTTAGTTGTTTTTGTTGGGTTTTGGTGATACTGGGAATTGAGTCTAGGATTTCACGCATGCTAAGCAGCCCTCTGCCCACTGAATTACATGCCTAGACCGCTTTAATTTTTTAAAATAAATTTTATTTATTTATTTATTTATTTATTTATTTATTTATTTTTCGAGACAGGGTTTCTCTGTAGTTTTTGGTGCCTGTCCTGGAACTAGCTCTTGTAGACCAGGCTGGCCTCGAACTCACAGGGATTCGCCTGCCTCTGCCTCCCGAGTGCTGGGATTAAAGGCGTGCGCCACCACCGCCCGGCACTTATTTATTTATTTTTATAAATATTTTACTTTGGGACCTGTCGAGGTCCGGTGGCAGCCCAGACCCTAAATTAAGTCTCTGAACCTCCTCAACCAATGGCTTTATCGGGAGGGAGTTTCTCCATGGTCCCTCATGATATCCTGAGTTCACATGCTGAAGAATTCCTCTTGTTTATTCTCCAAACAGCTTTTATATCAAAACATAAATTGAGGGGGTAAATGCGTTAGCATTCTGTCTCCTAGGTAACCAGTTGAATGGCTTTTAGTCACGTCCACATCTACCTGTCTGCTCAGTATGCAAGCAGTCATGTAGGCTTGAATTAACATTTCTATCAGGCATCCTCTAAATTACAAAGAAAGGAGCAAAACAACATCCTGACCTTTTGTTAGGTAGTGACAGTCTGTCTGGAAGGTTACGTGACTGCTCTGGATACTAGCCGTGGCCCGAGAACTTGGCTGTCACACCATGTAGAAATACGGGCCTCCAGGGGCCGGAGAGAGTCGTTATGAGCACTTGCTGCGTTTCCAGCACTCACATGGTGACTCACAACTGTCTGAAACTCCAGTTCCAGAGACTTCAACACCCTATTCTGGCTTCCACGGACACTGCACTGCTGTAGTGTACACATACAAGCAAAGCACCCATCCCTGTAAGAAGGCTAATTGTCTGCATGTGTGTCTGGGTACCATATGCCCATGGTGCCCAAGGATCAGATGAGGGCACCAGGTCCTTTGGAACTGGTTATACAGACAGTTCTGAGCTGCTATGTGGGTGCTGGGAATCAAGCCTAGGTCCTCCTGAAGAGCAGCCAGGGCTGTTAACTGCGGAACCTTTTCTCCAGTACCGTTCGTTCCTTTTTATGTTTTAAGACAGGGAGGGTCTCACTGAGTGGTTCAGGGTGTACCACTGAACTTGAAATCCTCCTGCCTCAGGCTCCCAAATAACTGGGAGACCTGTACCACAAAACCTAGATGCTGCGCCTGTACGGGCTGGAACCACGAGTCTGCACGAGTCTCTGCGGAGGGTGTCCAGGTTGAATGAATCCACAGAGCACGAGGTTGAGGTGGAACAACTTCTTTATTGTTCTGCTGGGGCTAGCTTTTATACCACGGCACCAAATGAGGAGTGGGCTGCAAAGGGAATGTCACCTGACCCTGGTAGGGACTGTCACCTGACCCAAGCAGGGACTGTTACCTGACCCCAGCAGGGATCAAGGAATGATCACGTGCACTCAAACTTCCTTACCCAACTCCAGGAGCAGAGGGAAGTTATGTTTTCTTTGCAGATAAGCATCTCAAATGGGGACAGGGAAATGTAACTCGGGACAGCAATTCCCACACCTAGACATAGGTTTTGTGAAAACCTATGAAAGGGGCTAAGTGGTTAAGAGTGCTTATTCTTCTTTCCAGGGTTGAAGTTCAGTTTCCAGCATATCAGGTGGATTACACCTGTTTGTGACACCCTCTTCTGGCCTCCACATACACACACACACACACACACACACACACACACACACACACACACGTGTCCTAGACAAGTGCTCTATCACTCAGTTCCACCCTCAGCTCTAGGGATTTTTTTTTAGATGGGGTCTTGGTATGTAGCTCAGACTGGTCTTGGATTTCAGATCCCTCAACTCTGGCCTTCCAAGTGTTGGGATTACAGGCATGACCACCATTTAAAAGATTTATTTATTTATTATGTATACAGTATTCTTAGTATTCTGCATGTATGCCTGCAGTCCAGAAGAGGGCACCAGATCTCATTACAGATGGTTGTGAGCCACCATGTGGTTGCTGGGAATTGAACTCAGGACCTTTGGAAGAGCAAGCAGCACTCTTAACACTGAGCCATCTCTCCAGCCCCCAATGGTCACCACTTCTAAAGAGTAAAGCCTTTTATAAATGTTGATGAGAAGTATCTTGAGCCTTATCTATCACACCACTAAAGTCAGTGCCCACTGAACAAAACCAAACATGCTTCAAATATCCTGCACCACCCCTCCTTTTTGTCTAAATAAAAGGAAAGGTTTTGACTCTAATGCAGTAAAACTATATACAGTAAGAACAATTATCAGATTAGAATTGTATTCACAATGTCCAGTCTATTTGTATTGGTAAATTCAGAGAAAATACTGTGTCATCTGTTCTATCTTAGTGAGTCCAAAGTTTTATACCTAAACCACTTTCTCTCATAACTTGTATTATTAGCCTAAAAATATCCTTTTAGATATTAAGACATCTTCATTAAAAAAAACTTAAGCTTTTATGTCTTTTAACCTTCATAAACTTTACATCGCTTTTGTGAGTTTTAAAAAATTTGGTGACAATGAAAATAGTGATACTATAACTATCTAGTCTTCTTCTTCTTCTTCTTCTTCCTCTTCCTCTTCTTCTTCTTCTTCTTCTTCCTCTTCCTCTTCCTCTTCCTCTTCCTCTTCTTCTTCTTCTTCTTCTTCTTCTACTTCTTCTTTTTCTTCTTTTTTTGTTTTTTCGAAACAGGGTTTCTCTGTGGCTTTGAAGCCTGTCCTGGAACTAGCTCTTATAGACCAGGCTTGCCTCAAACTCACAGAGATCCGCCTGCCTCTGCCTTCCAACTATCTAGTCTTCAAACCCCATCAGAGACCTGGAAAAGAATAAAATATTACTGAAGTAAACAGGAAATGAGGGCACAAACAACTTCCAAAGCTATAGAAATGACAGGAACAGCTGGCCTCCTGGACAATCACCCAAGGTTCTCTCCAATGCTGGGGCATTCATCTTTGACCCACAGGCCTAGAATATCAGACAGACTTTTCTGTGAAGCTGGAATTTTGAAGGGCTGGCTTACTTTGCCTTGGCAAAGTTTGGCAGTCACCTTCTTTTGGATTCTGCTTGTCCAGTTTGGACATCGTATTGTTAGCAGTTGAGGCAAGGGCAGTTTTTTGCCCAGTGACTGACTTTGTCACATTTAAAACACACTCCATATGGAGGTTCTTCAGTGCCCATTATTTTCTTTGAAG